TACGAAACGGTTCACCTGAAAACGAGTAGACAAGACTTTACAGACAAGATTTTAGGACGGAAAATCCAAAATGGCTGCCTTGACATTTACCCAGAATGCCAAAAAACTAATGAGATCTAGATTTTTATACTAAGAATCATCCCTGAAAATTTGAAATTGATCCACCAAACGGTTCACCTGAAAACGCGCAGACAAGACTTCACAGACAAGATTTTAGGACCGAAAAATCCAAAATGGCCGACAATAAAAAAGTCCTTATGAGTTTTTGCTGATTTCTTTTTACAAAATTATCACATATAACTACTGTTAACAATAAAGTAGGCTTTTACAGCAAAGTACATCTGAAATTATTTATAAAGCTACTAAATAGTTAAAGTATGAAAATTCAAAAACACCATTCAATATGATACAAAGTATTATCGCGCGCTAACTTTTCTTAAGACATTCAAATTGGCTGACATGACTGAGCTAGCAGGTCCAAAACCTATTCAGATCTAGAATGAAGTGAGTTAAACAAGATGTTAAAGTTTTAAAAGCAACTGTGAAGCAGTTTTTCTTAAAGTTTGTAGACAAGGATTTTAGCATTTGACTTCAAAATGGCCGACAGGAAGTAGGTATCGAGTTAATTTTTTTTCATCCACATCTGTATGCACTCATAAGTTATCCCTGAAAATTTGAAGGTGATATCTGTAGCGGTTTTGGAGAAAACTGCCGGACGTACGGACAGACAGACGGACAGACGGACAGACAGACGGACGGACGCGCCTAGGCCGACAATATGGCCCCACACTATGTGGTGGGGACATAAAAAGGAAGGTTCATGATAACACTTACATAAAATATCTTAAGTATCTAATAATGATAATGAACATATTACAATGTTACACATTGTTAGTAGATGATAATTAAATGTCAATTGTTGTTAGTGTAATATGTATTTTTCGCTAAATGCTGCAACAATTACGCAAGTACCAAAAAGTGCCACGCCCACTTTTCCCTAAAAGTAGTTGTGTGTGACTATATTTGATAAATATTATTGATTTATTGGAGCATTATGTCAACTTTTTAGTGCTTTAGTGTGAATATATACATATTTATACAACTTTTGACAAAGTGGTAGCCACAAATTCCGAACAAATTTGCAAATATTTCACTTTGAGAGCGAAGGGACATATTTGGGAGGAGGTCAAATTGAGAAGATTTTGAGATATAAATATTGTTTCCATGGTAACCATATAAGTTAGAGATTGGAAATTTCTGGCACTGACTAACCATGGTATGCCCTGCCTACTAAAAAACTATGAATGTATGACATGCATTAGTATTCTTTTTATTAGTAGGTATTAAAGTACCCCCAAGGTTTTCTTGGGGTGGGGGTATAAATTGGCCTGAGGGCCGTCTGCCACCCCTACATGAAGTCCAACTACCCAGAAAGTGTCCAGCATAATCATACAGACTGTTTGAAATATGTTGGAATGTGTGACCTTCCATGAAAAGCAGAAGTTACAATTATCAGAGTAGTCCACAGTCTATAGTAAACATAAATAAATGATAGGTGAAATGTTATGCCCTGCCTTAATACATAACTAAGATTTCTTATTTTCTCGAACAAATGGTGTCTCACAATTGACTTACTGATTCTATTATCAATACATCAACATCAGGTAATGCATGATCTATCCAATGGATTAAAGATAATACTTGATTCTAATATGGCAAAATAAATCATTCCATGTATGAATTGCATAGTGCATAGTCTATATCTGCAAGAAAAAATTGTCAAGACATAAGCCATGGCTCATTTGAAAGGTCTCTTTGTGCTTTTTAAGATAAACAAAAAATCAAAATATTGAAAAATATGTGATATTCCTTCAATATGGATAGTGGTTTGTCATGTTGAAAGTTGAAACTTAAAATAATATCTAAACAAATCTGTTTAGTGTATAAGAACAATAAAAGTAAATATGTTTATTACAATTATTATTAGACATTTGAACAATGAATATAACCTAAAATAAGAAATCTTGTTCTCGTATTCCATTTTAAAATTGGTTGAATGATTTTGGTCATAATTTATAACTTATACCTAAGTAACTTAATATAATACGTAATATGCTCTGATCCTGTAACATAAATGGTCCTTCATAATCAGGTATGACTGAAATTGTACAAGATCTTATAAGGTTACAGTTTCCATATAACGTATGTTCCATATTACTACCCCAAATCTCCATACCAGTAGTTAAGTTTATGAGTCATAATCCCTCATAGTTTATGATGGCAAATGCCTATCCTTGTCTAGAATATGTCATTTTATCAATTTTATGAAATGATTGTTACATAAACAAGTATACAATCACATGCCCCCCCCCCTCCCACACTAAAACTTTAACATTTTATTTATCAATCTTTCTACTTCTGTTAATATTCTCTGTCCGGATTCCCCAATTCTACATACTGTCAAGTTAACATCTAAATAGGATAGTTCTAGCTATTGCTGTTGTTTTGAAATGTTGACTTTTCTTGGGGAAAATTGTTTCAATTCTGACAGAAGTTTTTAGCCAATATCATTCAATTTATCAATATCCAAAAGCAGTGTTTTGAAATGCACTTTGTTTGTGCCTGTATTTTCATATTTTTTATGAGAATCAGAATTTTATTCTACAAAACGGGTGTTCATGGAAGTAGCACTAATTATTACATCATTGCTATTAATCATGTGATTTGATTGGCTAATTCAGTACCATGGGACTAAAAATACCATAGCGTATTTCACAGCTCCCTGAATCACTGGCATACAAAATATGTATCCCTTATTGCCCTGCGTATTGCCCGCCTGGGGATTCTGACAACTGCACCTTCAATGATTTTTGCAATATGTACATGTATTGCCCGCAGCCCGTAGGTATTGCCCTCCATAGAATGAAATATTTGCTTAATATCTATTACTGTTTCGGGCTAAATATCAATTTTGGTATAAACTGAGCAAAACGCCACCTTTAACATGCAGCTAATTCTCCCATCTAACAAACAGAGCCTCTTTTAACATATCAAAATTTAAAAATTGCCACTGATTCAATTTATTCAATCAAATCTAAAATGGTAATACCTTTTTACTGCTTCGAACTTCCTTATATTTTATACCATAGGAGTAGGATGTTTGTCTCTTTCAATTGATGCTTTCACCAGAAACATGGATATCACTAATTTTGATTCATATTTAAAATGGTATGCATGAATAGACCTGTGTGTTTTATACCAAATGGAGACACTTCCCTGGGGAGTTGTAAATCTCTCTATGTAAACAGCCTAGTTTCCCACATCCCTTGTTGACTTTGCTCCCATATTTCCTGTGAAGCTGTGGAACAGTTCTCTTGTTCTTCACAAATTACTGTAAATCAGTGAATAAGGCCAATTCATATCACTGGCTTCCCTAGGTCATTTAAATGCCTTGGAATTTTTAATCAGCAATAAAGAATAATGGGTTAAATTATCAAAAAATGAAAAAGTTGCAAATGATGAGATTTGCTATATAGCTTTAAAATCTTGCTGAAGTGTATAGTTTAACTATAGGTTAACAGGCTAATTTCTCATTGACATAATTTTAAAGAATCTTAAACATTGACTTATTGTTTCAGTGGTCCTTTTAAAGTCCATATACACAATCTGAACAACATCCAGTCTCAAACACAATCTGATTATCATCAAGTTTCAAACAAAATCTGAACATCATCAAATTCATTGCAAATGCAGGTTTACTTTAATCTAACAAAATGAATATGGTAAATCAATAGACTAAGTGAAATATGTCAAGTCAATGGTAAAAACTAGTATCTACTATCTAGCCCAACTTGCACAAGTGCTGCCATCTACCTACTAGTATCAATCCATCTATCCATATACATAGCACCTAATGAGGTCACTACTTCAAGTAAAGCTTTTTCCCCTGTCTATGGTAAAAAAATGAAAAAGAAAAGTTAGTTTGACACCATTGGTGATGCCCACCTTCTATGGCATAGGGATAAAAGGAAGGTTCATGATAACACTTACATAAAATATCTTAAGTATCTAATAGTGATAATGAACATATTACAATGTTACACAATACTAGTAGATGATAATTAAATGTCAATTGTTGTTAGTGTAATATGTACTTTTTGCTTAATGCTGCAACAATTACGCAAGTACCAAAAAGTGCCACGCCCACTTTTCCCTAAAAGTAGTTGTGTGTGACTATATTTGATAAATATTATTGATTTATCGGAGCATTATATCAACTTTTTAGTGCTTTAGTGTGAATATATACATATTTATACAACTTTTGACAAAGTGGTAGCCACAAATTCCGAACAAATTTGCAAATATTTCACTTTGAGAGCGAAGGGACATATTTGGGAGGAGGTCAAATTGAGAAGATTTTGAGATATAAATACTGTTTCCATGGTAACCATATAAGTTAGAGATTGGAAATTTCTGGCACTGACTAACCATGGTATGCCCTGCCTACTAAAAAACTATGTATGTATGACATGCATTAGTATTCTTTTTATTAGGTGGTATTAAAGTACCCCCAAGGTTTTGTTGGGGTGGGGGTATAAATTGGCCCGAGGGCCGTCTGCCACCCCTACATGAAGTCCAACTACCCAGAAAGTACCCAGCATAATCATACAGACTGTTTGAAATATGTTGGAATGTGTGATCTTCCATGAAAAGCAGAAGTTACAATTACCAGAGTAGTCCACAGTCTAATAGTAGTTAGTATAATCTATAGTTTGGCCATGCCCTGATAACACAGTGGCCGTGCCTTAATAAATTCTAAATTCTATAAAATGGAATCTGTCGGATGTTCAAAAAACAAACAGAAATTATCCAAACAAGGTCGCGTTTCATTCCAACCTTCACTGTATGAATAATTGGATAATACTATGATTGAGACAGCCTTGTTATTGTTGATATCTAATATCCGTTTGTTTATTTCTGTTGGTGAAATTGTGGTGAGAAACAGGCTTATTATCCTCTTTGGTGCTTACACTTACTGCATATCAGTTTTCTCATTACAAACTACAAACATCTGGGTACCTTTGCCGAGCATTGACTACAGTCAAGAACACTTATAAGCTCCCATTTAAACGTGTGGAGATCTAGTAGATATCGTGAACGCGAACCAGGGATAAAGAATAAGCTCGACAGCAATGGATCTGCTCCTCCGTCAGGTTATCATGGAATTTGTGCTTTTGGTTATCATGCTGGCTCCAGGTCGAGTACATGCAACATCATCAGGTAATGTATTTAGATAAAACGGAGATTCCCAGGATGGACTGTCCCTAGGATGCATTTTTAAAAGTGGAATATATATAGATTACCCTGGCCAAGTTCTTTTAGATAATAAAATTGTACAGAGAAAAACGTGAGGGATGAGGGAATATTATAACTAATCTTACAAATGATTTAATATCATGAACAGTCTTTCATTGAATAACTGTTTTTTTACTACCATTCTCATAGACTTTCCATGTTTGGGCTCACATCCAACTCTGTACCAACAATGATGTAGGTGATTAAATGTAGACTTTCTCAGCAAGTGATTTACGAATTATTACATATTTTTAGCTGCTTATTATCAAAAATCCACAGAGAAGACAGATGCTGCCTAAAAACCCATTCTGGTATTGAGTTTTGATAAATCTGTTCGAATTGGACATGTCAAAAATTGGATGAAAATAAGTAATAAAGAAATAAGTCAGTTGAGGAGTTAAATCTGTAAATCACTACAAGGTATCTTACTCTTAATCATCATTTCTTTCTTTTTTTGACAAAGAGTGTAGCATGATTATATTATTATTAAAACTAGAAAAACAGCAACTTCACGGAGTAGCAAATCTCACCTAACAAACAAAACATAGTTTTGATAAATAGCGTTCAACTTGAAAACTTCTTAGCAGGATTCCTTTGTCTCTGGGTAGAAGCATATAAACTTTGAACCAAATCCCTCAAAGATAACATGTTTAATGTAAAATGCTCCAGCATTTTGATAAATTTAATAGCGGCGATCTTTCAATTTCACCTTGAGCAGAATTCCCTTATCTCTAAGCATCATCGTATAAAATATATGAACCAATTCCGTCCACTGGTATTTGACTTATCAAAGATTACGTTTTTGAACGAAAAATGACGGCCATTATGAAATTCAGCTGCCATCTTGAAAATTCCTTCTCGAGCAGAGCTTATTTGTCTCTAAACATCAAAGGATTTGTCACCATAGGTGTCACTATAAATAAGGTATAAACCCAATGTACGATCATATGTTAAATTCTTATGAAATAATAAAGGTAAAAGTGTTAACTCACTGATGCCATACTTATTTTGAAATAAATCAACTCAAGAACATGTTTTCAGGCAGTTCTAAAGGTGACCCATTTCTCTGCCAAAATTGTGTGTTTTTCTCTTGATAATCATTTTTCTGTGGTTTAGAATCTATCCACATTTAATATTCTAATAATATCAAGATTTATGCATGCTTTATAGTTTGGAGGCAATCTAATCCTATATTCATTGGATGCAATCAAATGTGACCTGCTTTTTTATATTATGCTGTGTGTGTTTTTCACTTCCTTGTTGTATCAAGGTGGCTTATATATTCGAACAGTTCCTTGCTTCCACAGGCTTCGCCCATTCTTATTTATGCCTCATTAAACATTATGACAAGGGGCATAGTTTAGTGATAAAATAAGTGTAGGGGAGGCCTTCGGAAGCACTGTAAAAGTGAAGTTGAACAAAAAATATAGCACATGATTAGGGCAGCCATTTTGGATGTTGAATATACTAGTGCTGTATAGATTCAAAAGTGGATTATGAATTTACCTACTATTGAATCATGACTAAAGGGCATTTGGTAACCTGCCTAGATGTCAAAATATGGGTGTCCCCAGGGTTACAATGAGCATTACCCCCAGCTCATTTGAAATTTTGAATAATTGACTAAACACAAGGATATCATCAAATTAATATTATAGGAATATCCTATGGTTTTGAAAAAATATCATTTATATCCATGAGTGAACGCAGCGAATGGGTGAAGATATTTGTATCCATGAGTGGATATAATTGATATTTTTTTCAAAACCATAGGATTGTCCGTTTATCCCATGGGAAATCATCATCAGCGAAAAAAGTTGAAAAATATAATTTGAAAAAAAATTGAAAAATAATTGAAAAAAAATTGTGAAAAAATGTTGAAAATCTTTTTTGAAATTTTGAATTTTTTAAAAAATATTTTTGAAAATAACTAAAAAATGTAGGAAGAATTTTTTTTTGAAAAAATTCGAAACCATCGAATATCACTTTTCAAACCATCGAATATCACTTTTTAAGACGTGATATTCGATAGTTTAAAAGTGATATTCGATGGTTTGTGAATTTTTTGCTAAAATATGATATCTTGATCCACATATAAAATATATCTTCATGTGATATTTGATCTATATCCTTGCAACCATGGGATAAATAAAAAGAATTGTCGCATTAAATTGTTGTCAATCAGTCAACATTACATAAAGGACCGTTTTTTTACAAAATGTTTTCAATAATTGGTTTAAGACACACCAGACACTCCTTTTGTTATTGTTGTTCGGAATAAAATGAAATATCTATCCGAACCTCATTGGAACAAAACGACATAAACACATCATGTTTAGGTCTCTCAATATTACAATTGTACAAAGGAACGTTTGGTATCATATGTTCGGAATGAAACAAAATATCTATCCGAACCTCATAGGAACAAAACGACATAAATACAACGTGTTTAGGTCTCTTAATATTGTAATTGTACAAAGGAAAGTTTGGTTGATTTTAAAAAGTATCTTGTTAATGAAATAAAAGGTTTATCTTAATTTTTAACTATTTTGGGGGGTTTTGTTTTAAGTTTTGTAAAATCTACCCAAATTTCCTTTGTATAACTATAATATTGAGAGGTCTAAGAAAATGTTTTATATGCTATTTTGTTCCAACAAGGTTCGGAAAGACATTTTATTTCATTCTCAAGAATTGGTAGAAAGGAACAAAAACAATTGCACTAATAACAAAAAATGTTAACAAAAACAGTTATAAAAATATATATACAGTAAATAATTTTTGCATTGAATTGTTGCCAATCAGTCAGCATTACATATACCATATCGAGTCCTATTCTTTGATGAATTTAAACCCCAAATTCTTTTGAAAAAATGAAAATCTTTGAAAAAATGAAAAGGAGCAGTGGGTTATCGCAAACAATTTCAGAAGGTTATATCTTGGATTATGCTTATTTTCTGAAAATGAAGACAGGTTTATCTTTTAGATCAATTCATTATCTCAAAGAAAATTATGAACAGTAATAATAAATTCAAACAAACTCGGAGATATTTAACTAGCAATTAACCCATCAACACACTTTTTCAAAGATGTTGACCCCATTTTCACCAAAAATGCAATCATTTTTTACAATTTTTAATGCATTACTATTCTTTATTTTGATGTATCAAATAGTTCTTGAAAGAAAAACTTAATTGCATTAAGATAAGTGTTCCCCATGTTATTTCTCCATTGAAAAATATCATGCTATCCATTGGTTTCAGTTCATTTTGGTCATCCAAATTGAATATCTTTAAAGTCCCTGGAGCAATCAAATTTTCCTTTTAGGAAATCGAACATGTCTCAAAGCACATTCTAATTATGCAGTCAACAATATAATAATAGGCTGCATTTTTGGTGAAAATTAGGTCAACATTTTTGAAAAAGTATGTTGATTGGTCCATTGCCCCTTCAATATCACTTAGGCCTGATTAACTAAATTATCATTATATATACTTTTCTTGAAGATAATGAATGGATCTAAAAGATACACCCATGTTCATGATCAGAAAATATTCATAATTCAAGTTAGAATCGTTTGAAATTGTTTTCGATAACCTACGTGCTCCTTTATAAAAAAATGAAATTTTTTGAAAAAGTGATTTAAAATGAAATTTTTTGAAAAAATAAAAATCTTTGAAAAATGAACTTTTTTGAAAAAATTGGGACAATATGATTTTTCGAGTATATATGATTTTTTTCCAGGGACAATATGATACTTCGAGTATATATGATTTTAAGGAGGATAATATTTATTATCCTACACTTGATGTACTAAATGTATAACATTAAAAAATAAATTTGATATCTATTGGCAAAATGAATAACCGGAGAATATCGTGATGATATACTCCAGGCGGAGGAGTATATCATAGGATATCCTATACTTAATTGAGGATGGACATGGACAATGCAAAGTAAAAGATTCAGCAAAACATATTTCTATATAGAAATTGAATTGTCTAACTTTTTTGTACACTAAGTGTTTAGTTTATTTGATGAATATTTAATATATTTACAGCGCTTCAAAGTTATTTTTGTTTTATTTCAATGGGAGAGGTTTTTTGAAAAACAATTTTGACTTTAAAGCCCTACAACTTTGTTGAACCTGAAGAAACATATCACTTTTTGTTAAATAAAGTTAGCAAATTCAATTGCCTGCCTAACACATATTTTTGCAAGGACTCGGATGGATGGATATTCTGTCATATGACTTACGGCAAACCTTCCATTTCCCATTGATTAACATGGGAATGTCGATTTTCAAAAGATCATCAAATTATCATCAATTTTCGACTTATTGTTAACACGTAGTTCAATTGGGGAGCTAAGGTTGCCAAACTTATGGAGGGGAGTGTAACTGGCACTTTATAATCACATGATTATTTTTGTGGTAAATATGGTGGTTAATTCATATAAAGGCTTCTCTACCTTTATCAAGTCTTCCTTAATTCTTTGCAGGATGTCAAGCTAATGATGAACCCTTTATGTGTAAGTTTATATTCCGTGGTGACTGCTACGATGAAGGTATCCTGCAACGTTGCTGCCACACCTGCTCAAGATTTAGAAACGCTGCGACTCCAGGTTTATCTCTTAAAACATCTACATATTTGAATTAATTTGAAATTATGTTTTGAATATACTCACACATATGTCATGTCATAGTCCAGCCAATTAGAATACAGTATATTTTACAACAGATAAATGGTTCCTTAATAGATTCAGTAGAATTACTTTCATCGATTTCAAGTTGACCAAATGTACTATACACCTTCCCTGCTAGCACATTTATCAACACTATAATCAAAACTACTCTTAACTCTCGATCTTACTTTTGTTACTTATTATTTTCTTTCCAAGAATAGAATATTTAATTCTTGAATACACACGAAACGTGAAAATTATTAAGCGAGAGAATGTGTACTGGATGGAAATTGTCCAGTTAAGTCCAGTCCAATTGTCCAAAATAACTTGCCAGTCTGTAGTTGAATTTGAGTGTTGACCATGTGTGCGAAAGGGATTTCGAGTGCTATTAGTCCCTGATCTGATTTTCTAAGAGCTCTAGGAATTTGTTGTCCGGGTGTCCACCACAAAAACCAACTACTGCATAATAGTGGAGTCAGATAGGTGTTCAGTTGCACAGAGGAGTAATTTGACTGTTTTGCATGGGGTCTTTTGAAGATTCATAAATTAACATGGGGCTCAATCTAGGTCTTTTATAGTTTTTAACGGCTAAACATATCAAAATTAGAAATATTCAGAAATGTACCTCTTTGATTTTTTCTTATATCAATATATTAACTATAGAAATCTGACACTTTAGTAAAGCCATATTGATAGCCGTTTATAATGGCAGCCAATGGGGAATTTCCAAAATTCAAACGCAAATATATTTGGAACTAGGTGAAAGAAAAACATTAACCCATCTTATTTTGAAGATAATTATGTTATTGTAACATCCTGGAAATATGGGCTTTATTAATCTAAAACTGTTCTGCATGGGATCTTTTGAAGATTGATAAATGAACATGGATCGCAATGTAAATGTCAAAAATTTTCAAGGCCTGCTATTATCAAATGGGGCCACTTTTGAACACCACTTCGCTAGATATCAAAAATATATGTATTAGTGATACTTATGTCAAAAATAGTGCAATATATATAGCATGTGCAATTCTAGGGTTTTATTGCCGTAATTGACTCCACTATAATGTTCACACATATATGCTTTTCACTGGGTTATGTTACACTTTCCAGTAACAGGGGCTTTCACTTAGAAAATAAGGATTTAGCAAGGATGTATTGACTAACAAGTGGCTATCATCATATTCCTAAGCCATCAAAGATATTTATTTGACTAATATTTTAGTCACCCTGTACCTATTATACAAGTCAAATTAGACAGTGTTTTCTATTGTTTAAAATGTATGGACACCAAAACATTGCACTTTGTAGATTTTTTACTACTGCAGACGTTTGCAACCAGTGGGAACCATCTTTTTGACATTTCAAAATTCTATACTCTCTTGTTCATCATAAGGACTTAATTTTTATCAAAATCAATTGATATCATACTTGAATTGCAGTTATGTGGTAAAAAGTAAAGATAATATATTTCAACTTGTTTTTAGAAGGGAATCTTGTGTGGCCCCAGTTTAAAGGCAAAAGCCCCTGTTACAATCAAAACAAAATATATTTTTTTAATAAGAAGTAAGTACTTTAAATATGTTCATTTTTTGTGACGGAGTACCGACAACGACACTATATTTTTCTTGGAACAGGTTGGGACTATAATATATACATTACTCGTCAATTGCATGCTAGCATTATACCTTGTCCATCGCTCTTTAATTTGTTTAACAAATCAACAATTAACTGTATGATGTATTTCACAAATAAAGCATTAAGTCCGGTGCTTAAATCCTTAGATAGTACATTTAAGCCATATTGTTGTAGGATATACAGTCTGCGGAATGAAAATTAATATTTGTTTCAGAGTGCCTATATGGTGATAGGTATGACACGTGTCAACATATCTTACCTTACCAGTGCTACAATAACTACACAGGGACCAGTTACTGTTGTGACACATGTACACAGTTCAGACTCCATCCCGAGAGTCGCTCTGGTATTTTACAACTTATTTTACCATGAGAGTGGATTATGGATATCCTCTTATATTTTTTTCATTTGTCAATTCTAAATTGCTCTTTTAATTAGATGCGTCAAAATATTGTTTCTGCTACTTCATCATTAATACATACATCAATTTGTATATTACAGGCTGCGAATATGGGAATCGTGATACGAAAAGATGCACTCGTATCAGCCCACGTCAGTGCTATGGGAGTTTCTACGAGCAACTCTGTTGTAACTCCTGCCATCATTTGAGAATAAAAGACATCTCAGGTAACACTGCACCCCAGTCACATTTGTCGTACGGAGGCCGTGCGTCGACCGCAGATCAATTAAATCAGTGAATTTCTGTGGCGAGCGTAGAAAAACTACGCTCGCCTTGCGGTCTCCGTACGGCGTATCCAGTTTTTTACAGGCCGCAGGGTAGCCGTAGAAATTATAAGTCGGAGTTATACACCCCAGTCACATTTGTCGCAAGGCAGCCGTAAGTCGACAGCAGATCAATTAAATCGGTGAATTTCTGCGGCGAGCGTAGGAACACTACGGGCGCCTTGCGGTCTCCGTACGGCGTATGCAGATTTTTCAGGCCGCAGGGTCGCCGTAGAAATTATAACTCGGAGTTATAATAGTTTTCATTTCTGCGGTGCCCGTAGAAATCAACTGGCTCAACAAGATTAAATCATTTTTTGTCAATGTTTCACGATCACTTTTCATTTGATATTACATCCTAGCACTATGAATAACATTTATAAATTGTCCTGATGTAAATAAAATGAAAAAAAAATTATTAACAGAAATTTAAAATTCACCGTGCGGCTGCCGTGGGAAATGTGACTGCAAAAGTATGAGAGCGCAGAATTTCTACGGCGAGCGTAGAAAAGCTACTGGCCGCAGAAATGATAGACCGCACGGCGGCCGTGGGAAATGTGACTGGGGTGTTAACGTTAAATCAACAGAAATTCAAAAACTCGCCGTGCGGCTGCCGTAGGAAATGTGACTGCAAAAGTATCCGACCGCAGAAATTCCACGGCGAGCGTAGAAATGTTAGTGACCGCAAAAATGATAGACACATTTCCTACGGCCGCCGTGCGGTCTATCATTTCTGCGGCCAGTAACATTTCTACGCTCGTCGTAGAATTTCTGCGGTCAGATGCTATTGCAGTCACATTTCCTACGGCAACCGCACGGCGAATTTTGTTGATATAAAAACCACGGTTGCCTTGCGGCCTTTTAAATGGTGAATAACGGTCGCCGTATGGTCTCCCTACGGAGGGCGTAGTTTTTTCCGAATACAAAAGCAGATGCAACGTTGCCCTGCGACAGTACGTTGACCATACACTACAGCTACACAAACGTTCATGCTCAGTTTTATCTTATTTACATCATAGTATATTGTAAGTACAATCTATAAAATATATTTATAGTGCTAGGATATAGTATCAAATAGAAAGTGTTGAGTGAAACCAGGACCCCGAGTACCTTAAGGAAATCTGGTCACATATTATGACAACTCTAGTAAATGCTATTACGCCATGCCTCCAAAGAGACAACGCGTATTAGAGGAAAAGAAGAACAAGGATGCCATTCCTGATGAATCAGGTGATGAAGAGGAAGATGATTTGTCTGCCATTCAGAAGATCGTATACAATAGAATTTTATGAGGCCCATTCATACCTGTTTTACATCCGCCATAAAAATACCGCAATAACAAAAAGACGGGGAATCCAACTATACACGAAAAACTGTTAAAGTCCCCGATAAATCGAGAAAGAGTCGAAGGCAAATATACAAAGCCAGCTTTTAAAGCCGGCTTCTACAGTACATCAGAAGCCGGCTTCTGGCGTCACCAAGAAGCCGGCTTTTAAAAACCGGCTTCGAATGACTTACAGAAGCCAGCTTCTGCAGTTACCAAGAAGCCAGTTTTAAAAGCCAGATTCTCTCTCTCAATCATTTTGTTGTGCATTATGCATCTTATTCTCGTATAATTAGCATGGAAATGAGAAAAAATGAAAATAAGTAAAATTGTAACATATTGCAAGATTTTTTACAAAAAGTCATTTCAAACCAAAACTATGAGAGAAAAATCAATTCTAAGTAAAAATATCGATGAATTAGATCATGTTCACCAAATCAGAACAGATTATAATGCATTGCATTTCCGTTTAATAAAAACGCACCGCTCATTTTACAAAACTGGCTCCAACTTGGAGCCAGTTTACAAATCAGCTCGCTCCATCTTACACAAGCTATGTAGGGCAATCTAGCAACTGGGAATCACGGGATACTGTCTCACGATCATTTCTATGTGCATTATGCATCTTATTCTCGTATAATTTGCATGAAAATGAGAAAAAAACTGAAAAATACGTAAAATTGTAACTTATTTCAAGATTTTTTGCAAAAAGTCATTTCAAGCCAAAACTGCTAGATTGTCCCTACATAGCTTGTGTAAGATGGAGCGAGCTGATTTGTAAACTGGCTCCAATTTGGAGCCAGTTTTGAAAAATGAGCGGTGCGTTTTTATTAAACGGAAATGCAATGCATAATCTGTTCTGATTTAGCGAACGTGATCTAAATCATCGATATTTTTACTTAGAAATGAATTTTCTCTCATAGTTTTGGCTTGAAATGACTTTTTGCAAAAAATCTTGAAATAAGTTACAATTTAACGTATTTTTCAGTTTTTTCTCATTTTCAGGCCGAATATACGAGAATAAGATGCATAATTCACATACAAATAATCGTGAGACAGTATCCCGTGATTCCCAGTTGCTAGATTGCCCCTACATAGCTTGTGTAAGATGGAGCGAGCTGATTTGTAAACTGGCTCCAAGTTGGAGCCAGTTTTGAAAAATGAGCGATGCGTTTTTATTAAACGGAAATGCAATGCATAATCTGTTCTGATTTAGTGAACGTGATCTAATTCATCGATATTTTTACTTAGAAATGAATTTTCTCTCATAGTTTTGGCTTGAAATGACTTTTTGCAAAAAATCTTGAAATAAGTTACAATTTTACGTATTTTTCAGTTTTTTTCTCATTTTCATGCAAATTATACGAGAATAAGATGCATAATGCACATAGAAATGATCGTGAGACAGTATCCCGTGATTCCCAGTTGCTAGATTGTCCCTACATAGCTTGTGTAAGATGGAGCGAGCTGATTTGTAAACTGGCTCCAAGTTGGAGCCAGTTTTGAAAAATGAGCGGTGCGTTTTTATTAAACGGAAATGCAATGCATAATCTATTCTGATTTAGTGAACATGATCTAATTCATCGATATTTTTACTTAGAAATGAATTTTCTCTCATAGTTTTGGCTTGAATGACTTTTTGCAAAAAATCTTGAAATAAGTTACAATTTAACGTATTTTTCAGTTTTTTCTCATTTTCAGGCCAATTATACGAGAATAAGATGCATAATGCACATAGAAATGATCGTGAGACAGTATCCCGTGATTCCCAGTTGCTTGATTGTCCCTACATAGCTTGTGTAAGATGGAGCGAGCTGATTTGTAAACTGGCTCCAATCAAGTTGGAGCCAGTTTTGAAAAATGAGCGGTGCGTTTTTATTTAACGGAAATGCAATGCATAATCTGTTCTGATTTAGTGAACGTGATCTAATTCATCGATATTTTTACTTAGAAATAAATTTTCTCTCATAGTTTTGGCTTGAAATGACTTTTTGCAAACAATCTTGAAATAAGTTACAATTTTACGTATTTTTCAGTTTTTTCTCATTTTCATGCAAATTATACGAGAATAAGATGCATAATGCACATAGAAATGATCGTGAGACAGTATCCCGTGATTCCCAGTTGCTAGATTGTCCCTACATAGCTTGTGTAAGATGGAGCGAGCTGATTTGTAAACTGGCTCCAAGTTGGAGCCAGTTTTGAAAAATGAGCGGTGCGTTTTTATAAAACGGAAATGCAATGCATAATCTGTTCTGATTTAGTGAACATGATCTAATTCATCGATATTTTTACTTAGACTTCAATTTTCTCATATAGTTTTGACTTGAAACGACTTTTTGCAAAAAATCTTGAATTATGTTATAATTTTACATATTTTTCAGTTTTTCCTTATTTTCATGCAGATTATACGAGAATAAGATGCATTGTGGCGAAGTTGAGTCTCTCTATCTTTTACAAAACATGAAAACAAATATAGTTTAAAATATAAATTTATTAAAGAAAAGTTAAAGTCCAAAAATATCATTTCAATCGGCAACTTACAGTTTTTGGTTAGTCCCGAGTTCACGCAACGAGGTTCTGAGGTTTCAATGCCAAAAATGCCTCTTTTATATCTTAATTTTGAGGTGGGCAGAGCCGAAATAAGAGGTCTTATCCAATAAAATATCAGGAAATCCCATTAACTAAAATTAGCCTAAAAATAAATGTTTAATTTTATAGAATGTCAATAAGAAATAGTGATGATTTTCTGCCCACGAATCTTGGATGTTTACCGAAAGTTTGAGAATTTGGCAGAATTTGGTGGGAAAGGAATGCCTAGACAAAACCTCTGAGCCTCGTCTCATGAACTCTGGATGTTTAATCTAATTATCTAATTTAATTCATTATCTAATTTATGTCCGAAACACATATTTATAAGTAAATTTTCCCCCTAAAAAGTATACAATTATTCGTAAAATGTGATGGAGATAATAAAGGTATAAACATTTGCAAAGCATATACAGCAGTATAAATGTTTTGGTCAGTTGTACTCCAGGTCGTTAGGTTTAATAGCTTTTTACTTTGTTTATCAGAAAGCTGTCTTCAAGATGATTCCAAAAACTATCGAAACTTATAAACATCTTAACTAAACATTGCAAAATTTCCCATCAGTTGACTTCATATATCATTTCTGCCACTCATATCTCAAGAATAATCCTTTCGTTTGATTGGCTCTAGATATAGTTCATGCCTAAAAACTGCTCTAACATGATGATAAAACATTAGAAATTAAACTGTTGATATTGTGAAATATCACACTGGGTTTAAAGATCACTAAAACAACTGTTATAATACAAATATAAACTAATCAAAATAACGCAATAATTATAAACATGAGTAACAGAAAAAGATCATTATGACATCAACTGATATGAAGTGAAATAAGTAGACTGACCAACGAGGTCAGCTATGACTTCGTCACAGCATAATCCACATCAAAATGATCGGGAGACAGTATCTCGTGATTCTCAGTGGCTAGATTGTCCGCTAATAGCTTGTGTTTAATGGTGTGAGCTGATTTGAAAACTGGCTCCAAATTGGAGCCAGTTTTGAAAAATGAGCGGTGCGTTTTTATTAAACAGAAATACAATGCATAATATTTTTGGAATTGATGAACGTGATCAAATTCATCGATATCCATGCTTAGAATTCAATTTACCCCCATAGTTTTGCAAAAATATGACAATATAAACTATATTCAAAAGCCATCTTCTGCAGTACGTCAGTAAGTAAGAAGCCAGTTTTAAAAGCCGGCTTCTTGGTGACTCCAGAAGCCGGCTTCTGTTGTCCTTCAGAAGCCGGTTTTTAAAAGCCGGCTTCTGAAGTACGTAAGAAGCCAGTTTGTAAAAGCGGTTTTTGCCTTCGAGTACTTCTGATTAAATCGAGGGACTTAGTACAATAAACCAATGCACCGACAGGAAGGCAATTTTGTTCTGCTTTTTATCATAAATTCCTGCCAGTGCTAGACTTCAACATAATCCGAGACACTACATGGGCATTCAGCTTTTAATGGAACAAGTTTGATGTAAAACATTGCAGTATCAGACTCTCAATCCTTGATTTTCAAACAGGGGATAGGTCTTTAATTCAAATTAACGGTCGTAGTTGGCACCGCGTGAAACTGAAGGAGGCAAATTTGGCAGAGTAGGCAACAGATACTATAAAATGTACTGGCCAGTAGAAATTTGAAAGCCGAATGTGTACAGTAAAGTAGATCATAATAAAAAATGAAATTGTTCACATTGCTATGTTCACTTGCCCCAGACACTTCCAGAATGAATATGATATCACATATGATATGTGATTTGTGGATATGAAGATGAGACATTAAAATGACATTTTAATAACCTTCAGCCTATTGCAATCTCAAGAACTGACCTGGATCTTCCAAGAATCGAGTCAATCGTCTTGCGAACTTGTTCACAGCAAATGACAGAAAAAATGACCTAAAACCTGTTTCCAAAGGTACATTACCCATCAAAACCCTACGGCAGACGAAAGTCGACCGTAAGCCCGACGTGCGGCCGCCGTGGAAACGTTCTGCGGTCTTGCTACGACTTGTTGATTTCTACGGGCACCGCAGAAATGAAAAATATTATAACTCCGAGTTATAATTTCTGCGCCTTCCCTGCGGCCTGTAAAAATCTGCAAACGCCGTACGGAGACCGCAAAGCGCCCGTAGTTTTCCTACGCTCGCCGCAGAAATTCACTGATTTAATTGATCTGCGGCCGACTTACGAACTCCGTGCGACAAATGTGATTGGGGTGTTACACCCCAGTCACATTTCCCACGGCCGCCGTGCGGTCTATCATTTTTGCGGCCAGTAGCTTTTCTACGCTCGCCGTAGAATTTCTGCGCTCTCATACTTTTGCAGTCACATTTCCCACGGCAGCCGCACAGTGAATTTTAGATTTCTGTTGATAAATAATACTTATTTTCATTTTATTTACATCAGGACAATTTATAAATGTTATTCATAGTGCTAGGATGTAATATCAAATGAAAAGTGATCGTGAAACATTGACAAATAATGATTTAATCTTGTTGAGCCAGTTGATTTCTACAAGGACCGCAGAAATGAACAAATATTATAACTCCGAGTTATAATTTCTACGGCGACCCTGCGGCCTGTAGAAAACTGGATACGCCGTACGGAGGCCGCAAGGCGAGCGTAGTTTTCCTACGCTCGCCGCAGAAATACACTGATTTAATTGATCTGCGATCGACGTACGGCCGCCGCACGACAAATTCACATCATAAGTTTTTACTTCGACATTACTGTGGAATAAAGTAAGTTAATTGAACAATCCGATCTTGTAACCGTGAACAGAGGTGACTGGTTGACATTTACAGCATCGGTCAAAGGGGAAATCAATATTAAATTCAAATTCACACATAGCTAGGCAATGTGTGTCCAATTCCGGCAAATCAGCGAAACTGCATTCCGTTAGATAACCACTAACGCATTTGGTGTATGGTTGTCAATATGATAACTTGGACTCTACGATTGAAATTGATGCATTGCCAATTTGACCCTTGCATAAAGTTTCATTGAAAATATGTTATTTTAGTGATTTTGTTTCTTTAACGTGACATTGTACAAAATATTTTGCAATTTGTGAAAAGAATTTAAGCCCTGGACTCAGTGCAATGTGTAATGACCAGTCCTTTTAGGCGTTGTTTCCTAAAATCAGCACTCGATGCTCCGCATCTGGTGCAAATTTTAGAAAGCAACACCATCAAGTAATGGTCATTCCACATTGCACTGAGTCCGCCCAGGACTTAAATTCTTTATTCAATTGGTTTTAGATGATGAGTGTCGCTATGGTGACCATGGTGATGTGCGAGTTTCCCTTGAAGACGGGAGTACAAAAATCCGGACCTGCAGGGAACAACTACAGGTCGACCCAGCGAGCTGCGATAATGACCACAGTTTTTTATCCACTTGCTGTTTCTCATGCTCTAGAAAGAAAAATCCAAGACACCATTTCAACTTAAGACCAGGGACACAGTCTTGAAATTTCTGCCAAAAGCAGAAAAATTTGACGATGTTAATGTGTTTCAAATATTTTGTTTACTTCATGAATCTCGATGACATTATTGTCATAACAATACATTACAAATGATATTTTCACCGTGTAATGTGCTCTCAATAATTTTTTAATAGTTTAATAGTATATTAGGAATACACAGATACCAATTTAAGAATATCTCAAGGGTTTTTGAGGCATTTTAGAAACAGCAACAGACCTATTTTTCTAGATCAGTTTTTCAAGATAGGAGCTCTACTGGGTGGGCTATTTTAGTGTTTTTATCCCCCTGGGAAAATATTTTAGGGGTAGTATGATCTTAGTTCATAACTCAAAGAGTATATTAAGTGTGGTTCTGATATCTACAGCCAGCTATTGCAAAGTTGAATACTACCCTAAAGTTATAGTTTGATATTTGTATTGTAAATGCAAATAATTTAACCGTTACCCTTTGCTTAATAAAATAAAAACCTAGTACTGTACGAGCAAAATAAAATGTGTCTAAAGCCCGGTATACACCAATGGGGCAAAATCCCACTTGCCCCATCGAGTCCCAATTTGCCCCATCGAATCCCACGAAGTCCCATTGGACCTTGATGACTTTGCCCCATCGTGCCCCATGGATTCCCATCAAGCCCCATGGAGTCCCATCAAATCCCACCGTGCCCCATTGGTGTATGTCGGGCTTCGCACAACACGTCATATGACCGAAAATCCCACGATGCCCCATGGAAAGAATGAACATGTTCATTCTCGATGGGACTCCATGGGACTCCGTGGGATTTTGCCCCATCTTGCCCCATCGAGTCCCACCGAGTCCCACGTGGGACTTCATGGGACCTCATGGGACCTCGTGGGACTCGATGGGGCAAGATGGGGCAAAATCCCACGAAGTCCCATGGAGTCCCACGGACTTCATGGGGCAAAATCCCAAAAGGTCCCACGAGGTCCCACGCAATGTTAAGTCTAGCTAGATGATGACGTAAAGAAACCGATGCGCATTCCATTAAGCCCGGTATACACCAATGGGGCAAGTTGGGACCTCCATAGACTTAACATTGCGTGGGACCTCGTGGGACCTTTTGGGATTTTGCCCCATGAAGTCCATGGGACTCCATGGGACTTCGTGGGATTTTGCCCCATCTTGCCCCATCGAGTCCCACGAGGTCCCATGAGGTCCCATGAAGTCCCACGTGGGACTCGGTGGGACTCGATGGGGCAAGATGGGGCAAAATCCCACGGAGTCCCATGGAGTCCCATCGAGAATGAACATGTTCATTCTTTCCATGGGGCATCGTGGGATTTTCGGTCATATGACGTGTTGTGCGAAGCCCGACATACACCAATGGGGCACGGTGGGATTTGATGGGACTCCATGGGGCTTGATGGGACTCCATGGGGCACGATGGGGCAAAGTCATCAAGGTCCAATGGGACTTCGTGGGATTCGATGGGGCAAATTGGGATTCGATGGGGCAAGATGAGACTCGATGGGGCAAGTGGGATTTTGCCCCATTGGTGTATATCGGCCTTTAGAAGTATCTTTTAAGATTTTTTAGAACTGGTTCCACTATTCTGGTCATTCTTGTTAGAAGGAGAAACACGTTACTGAGCAAACCTAGAATCTAACCAATTTGGTGAAGAATAGGGCTTTTTAAACAGGATTCTTAATTACTACTACTAAAAATGTACCTTCTGGCATAGCTTTCACCAAAATAATGCATCAATTGTGTATATTAATATGGCAGTTGTGTTGGAGGATACAGATATTTGACAAATCGTATATATATAGCAAAACATACTTAATTATGTGACCAAGACATATCAAATATCCCGCTTTCAAGACTTGGTAGCACATGCATTTTATTAACATGCTCAAAAATAACTACGCAATCGATACATTTTAGATTAAGAAATCTGAGTTTATATTTGCCGAAAAAATAAAATGTTTCTTTATTCACGCCCGGTGATCGTGAATATGGGACGGAGGGGGGGGGAGCAGGCAATTTCTGCTAGGAAATTCAACAAATCTGGAAGATTTATTTTTTCAAGAAAAAGTTTACTGTTGAATTGCTAAATGGATAGGCGCACGGTATGGTAGAATATGTTAGGTTTTCTGGGATTTTTTCTGAAACGATACGCATCTAAGGTATGAGATCTATTAAAAAAGGCGCAAGGCCATCAACAGGCACAAATCAACGTTTTTGCTATAAATCAAGCAACAATGGTCTGGACGACCTGTAATAAATACTTGTAAGTGATGTTATCATAACTAAATTAATGTCATTGCTGAATTTATAAAATAAGTTTTCATATGTGAAATAAAAAATAATCGAAAATAATGAATTTGGGACAGAGGGGGGGGGGGGGGGGGGGAGGGGACGGAGGGGGGAGCAATATGTATATAAGACATGATTAGAGATGTTTCGCGACTTTAAGTCCTTTTACTCCAAATGTCCCCATTTTTCAGTCTCCAGGGGTATATCATCCAGTTTCTTACTAAGTTAATGAGTTCATTTTTCAAATACAAGAATTCGTGTGAAGTTGTTTCACTTTATAGAATTATTACTCCCCCCTCCGTCCCCTCCTCCCCCCTCCGTCCCATTTTAATTATTTTCGATTATTTTTTATTTTACGTATGGAAACTTATTTTATAAATTCAGCAATGACATTAATTTAGTTATGATAACATCACTTACAAGTATTTATTACAGGTCGTGTAGTCCACTGTTGCTTGATTTATAGCAAAAACGTTGATTTGTGCCTGTTGATGGCCTTGCGCCTTTTTTAATAGATCTCATACCTTAGATGCGTATCGTTTCAGAAAAAATCCCAGAAAACCTAACATATTCTACCATACCGTGCGCCTATCCATTTAGCAATTCAATAGTAAACTTTTTCTTGAAAAAATAAATCTTCCAGATTTGTTGAATTTCCTAGCAGAAATTGCCTGCTCCCCCCTCCGTCCCATATTCACGATCACCGGGCGTGTTATTGTCTAAAAATCCATCATTAAAGTGATATTTTTTAAAAAAGATAAGCAATATTCCAAACAAGTACCTTGTGGCAATGATTGCTTAAGGTTGGTCAACAAAAAATAACACATTGAATGTCCATGAAATCGACATATATGTCACAGTCTCTAGTAAAACAACAGATTTTTAAAATATCAATTATATCGCAAATTGTCCCATTAAGACATTGAGCAATGGACGTTGTAAAAGTTATATAATAACTTAGGTTCTCGCTGTTTGGCATTGGGCAGGGTTTACAATGACAAATGTTCAGGATATTGTATATTAGAATAGTACTTTTACAGTACTTTAACGTACAGGGATTCCTCGAGTTTTTCCTTTTAATATGCGTGTACGGCATTGTAACAACATCTTAAAAATAAAAATTTTACAGAACTGCATGTAAATAAGTGTATCTCGTGGAAACCCAACAAGGTAAAATTATGTTCTGCATACTGTAGCTATATAATATAGATTTTCTTGCGTCCAGTACATTTTCATTGTGTCCAGTATTTTTCCGAATTTCTGAAATTTCGTCATTTCTCTAATATCAATTACTCCCAAGCTAAAATTTGCTAACTGGATGTTGTATTTTTGTTTCAGACACAAGAAAATAGCATATATTGTCAATGAAAGGGTAAATAAAAATAATTCGAACATGACTGTATTCACGCCTTCTATAAACTGTAAACAAAGTCAATGCTTCAGCTGGATTATATTCGAGATCAATAACCCAGTTAATACGTGTAATGTGTGACGCCATAACGATGGGTCGTAGTAATGGCGGACCATGATGAAAATTCGAAACAATTTGGTGAGTTTTCATGTTCGAATCGTAATATAGACCTCAGATCAGGGGTAATATCGTCGAATACACCCCTTGGGGCTAGGCACAAAAGCTTTCGAACCCCTCACTCCCTTCGGTCGTTCGTGGTACAGAAAACGTTTGTGCCTAGGCCTGCGGGGTGTATTCGACGATATTACCCCTGCTTTTCGGTCTATATTTCTTAATTTGACAATACTCACATAATAGCTAACTGATCTCTTTCATATTTAAAGTACTTGGTAATAATACACTGTAATTCCTTTGTAATTTTTTTACGCCCTTCCTTACATCGCTCTATTTTGGTACTACTCCAAAGTATCTTCAAATAAACAACTCTCGACTTTTGGTGAACAAAAGGTTTGAGACAAACAAATTTTCTCAAAGGACAAGTAGTTGTGATTCTCTTAATAATTGTCCCCATTTGTAATGCATATTGTCATCTTAGGGAAATTACTAGTAATTCTACCAATTTACACATTGTTTTAAATATGTATGGAAGGAAAGACGATGGTTTAGTCTATAAATCATGCCCTGTGTTAACTGTCCATTTCAAGCGTTAGCTACATATATGTTCAATACTGTGCTAAAGACCAACAGGGTCATCAGAAATGCATTAATCACAAAAACATCCATTGTTCAACTGTATACTCCGTCAATTTTTCAAATCAGGAAAAGGTAATATTAGAACTACTTTCTCTTTCTATATCACATATTTATATAAATAATTGGATTTGTTTTGCAAAACTATATGTAATGCAAAGCATTGGATATGTTTGTGGAAAATGTATACGTATGAACGTCTATAATTTACGGGAAATTATAATTGAAGCTTAAAATACTGCAAATGGTTTTGGTACACGTATGGTGCTTCTAAATATCAAATGTTTATTTTATTAAGATGAGGACCGTGTTGTTTACTGTGCTTATAGCCATAGTCCTTGCACAGGATCGCCCACCTTCAGATCGAGGTAAGGAAGATCGCTGAGATTATTTATATACCCTCTGTAAATTACAAAATGGCGTATGGGACTGTATAATATTTTTTTTATTTTTGTGTATTATCATACCCAACATTTAGAGGTACAAAATATGTTTACCTTTACCAGATAAAGGAAATGGTTCTACTTTTAGACGGTGTATTCATAAAGTATTCAATTGTCCCACAAACTAGATAGTGGAGTCGCCTCGTTTCGAAATGGCGGCCATTTTGATTGCTCAAAAGCATGTTAATGGCCCAACATGTGTCTCGAGTGCCCACGGATCTATTCATTTACATTTTCATATTTTTAAAACTTCGGCCAGTTACAATATATACCCGACATACCTCTAAGAATTTAGTAGTTTAATACAAAATATTGAATATTTTTTTTATCTACAACATCTTTACTATTTGCCGAGGCTAAATAATATCATACTATCCATTATTGATATCTAATATAATCAAACTATATACTGCCATTATACGTTCATATGACTGGTCAATAATTTATTTACATCTTAAATACAAACTCAAAGGTTGTAATGCCCAGACTTATATCAAATATTCAGTGGGATATCATACTGCCATTTTTATTGATTACCATTTTTAGGGTTATAATCATATAGCCTTGGAAAAAGCTTGGCAACACTATGCAATTTATAGTAAGGAGGGTCAATTTTAGTTCTAGTTAGAATAAACCATGTGATATAAATACCAAATGCTGTCATAACTAACAAATTACATTTTATTCTTTTAGTTGTCACCACGGATCCAGGTAAGACAGTCATTATACATTAATACTTACGGAAGACGATACCAATTCTCCAGAGCAAAGGGCGCCGAAATCCAGAAAATCATCTCACAGAACTCGTCTAAATTATTACCAAATTACTTACATCCAAATTATGCAGTATCGCCATACGTTATCTGACATGTATGCTAAAACATGTATATGCAAGTTCCATCAGGCTATATCTACAAAAAACATAGGGGTAAAATGTAAAAATTGCAATGTAAAATGAACATTTACCTGTTTTCTGCGTTTATTAAAACGATACTAAAATATGTTTCGAAATCATGGTAAATTCAGTAGTAAGATTTGACAGTTTGAAATACGAATACGATATTTTCAGTTGAATGTGCAGCTAACTCTGGTTTTCTGGCTGATGAGGACCGGCCAGGTGGAGATTGTTGTCACTTCATTCAATGTGATAATACAAAAAACAACAAGACTGGCTATGTGGTCGCCTGTATGTACCCTCTTGTTTGGAACAAAGAAATTCAGGCGTGTGACGATGACCTAAACCTTCCTCAGGAAAGTACATGTTATCACAGTGACTGTTCAGGTAATTTAATTCCATCTGTTGCTTCGTGTGGATGTATTTTCTACTTTAACTAAATCCTAGATCCTAGATATAATTGAAGAAAACATCAAGGTGGCACTGACCTGTCTAGATATTCAGATCAATTTCGTACTGCAACTAAGCTAAAATGGCCAGATACAGTTTTGAAATTTAGCATCTATAACTGAGCATATTCACATGGTCTGCCGATTAATTAAGTTATCTCTGCATTTATTTTCCAGAGAAACCAGAGCCTATCCCAGTGTGTGAGTCAAACGACGAACCAGGTACATTATTTGCATATAATTAACAATATTCCTAATTCAGCAAACAAAGATGCATTGTTTGACAATTTATGAGTCTATAACTTCTGGATTTTGCACTACCAGAAGATATAAAATTCAATAGATTCTGCTGTATACATTTCATAGATCACTTGAAAATATTACATTGGAAATACATGAGCATTTGTTATTGAATCTTTTTTGTAGCATTTACATGCTACAAAAAAAGATTCAATCATCATCTTGAAGCGAAAATTGATATTGGCTTGATTCCATAGATTAAAACTAATTTACTACTAACAGAACGATTGCCATCGTAATTATTTTGAAATCTGGAAAAGCTTATACGTTTAATTTTTATGCAGCCGACGGAGAATGCTGTATTGTTGGGGAACCTTTGTTCTACAAACTGTTCAGTGAAGATAGCCTGAAATTCTATGTGTCTAGGACCAAGGGGAATGACACATTTGGTGACATAGAGTTCTGTCCCGGGGAACAAGAGTTCAATCTCAATGACTGCTGTTGTGAGGACAACTATAGTGAGTGAACGCTTAATACAATTAAACGTTTTATCGTATGATCTGTTAAATGAAGCCCTCTGATTGGTCGGTTCTTGTGCTGTACCAATCTGTATTGCTACTGCAATTTTCCCCATTGATCATCTCCGTACGTAGCAACACAGAACATATTCATACGGAGGGGACAAGCTCGGTAGCAATACAGAGAATGAAGAATGTATCTTAAGCCCGGTATACACCAATGGGGCAAGTTGGGACCTCCATAGACTTAACATTGCGTGGGACCTCGAGGGACCTTTTGGGATTTTGCCCCATGATGTTCGTGGGACTCCATGGGACTCCGTGGGATTTTGCCCCATCTTGCCCCATCGAGTCCCACGAGGTCCCATGAGGTCCCATGAAGTCCCACGTGGGACTCGGTGGGACTCGATGGGGCAAGATGGGGCAAAATCCCACGAAGTCCCATCGAGAATGAACATGTTCATTCTTTCCATGGGGCATCGTGGGATTTTCGATCATATGACGTGTTGTGTGAAGCCCGACATACACCAATGGGGCACGGTGGGATTTGATGGGACTCCATGGGGCACGATGGGGCAAAGTCATCAAGGTCCCATGGGACTTCGTGGGATTCGATGGGGCAAATTGGGATTCGATGGGGCAAGATGGGACTCGATGGGGCAAGTGGGATTTTGCCCCATTGGTGTATACCGGGCTTTAGGGATCATCTCCTAAGTAAAATGTATTGACCTAAGATCAGACGATAAAAACGTTATACAGGGCGTATCAAAAAAACGCAACAAGTAGTTATCTCGTAAAATCACAAAACTAGTGATGACTACATCAATTTCATTTAATGTACCATAAAGCCACGTCTCTCCTCTTTGCAATGATATGTCATTCATTCACATGTGGTAATGGTTGGGTGAGAAATCTTTCTATTTGCACAGTGGGTCAAAATCAGCTCTGCACCAAGTTTTAGATATTGAAAAAATCAGTGCAAGTCTAAGTGCCAATGGAAGTTCCCCTGACTTGAATTGTTGTGACCTTTTCTTTTGGAGCTATCTCAGGAGCATCTGTGCTCACAATTTCCTCCACCAGATATTGCAAAACACGAGAAAGATTTGCCCATGGGCTGCTTTTCTTTGCTTTAACCCACACATGATTCAGGGCTGAACCATGCATGACGTGGACAGATGAGCGCATCTTTATGTGCAAGGAAGTGGTGGCAATTTGTAGGGGTATAAGATGTTTTATTGCAAGAGTATGAGTATGAACACTTAACTGTCTATGCCATACCTGTCACACCTTCTTCCAATAGCCCCTATGCCCCTTGTACTGACTTTTGCAATGTTTTAAACTTGGGTCCGAGCTGAAATTTGCCCCACTTTGCAAAATTAATGATTATTCGGCCAGAGATGACTCCCTGTGAATGAATGATATTCCATTACAAAGAGGAGTAATTTGGCTTTTGGTACAATGAATTAAAAGGATGCAGTCAGCATTGGTTTTATGTTTTCATCCAATATTGCATCGGGCTCCGTACACTGACTTTTGCAATGTTTATAACTTGGCCCGAAGCTTATTTTGGCCCACTTTGCAAATGGAATGATTACTCGCCCAACCATGACCAAATATCAATGAATGGCTTTATGGTGCATCGAATGAAATCAATGCTGTTATCACTGGTTTTGTGCTTTTCCACGATAACAATCTGTTGCGTTTTTTTTGATACGCACTGTAGAATGATTTGAAGTGCAATACAGGATATATTCTGCTCTCGATACTCTGTATTGGCACTCGACTTCGCCTCGTTCTAATACAGGATTTCTCTAGCAGAATAAAGCCTGTATTGCACACCAAATCATTCAATAACTTATATTGCTGCAAGCTACATCCCTTCCACAAACGCGTTTGGAAACCGGAAGTCCCCATAATTGAATTTGTGAAAATTGCAAAATATAGCAAGATTGGAACATAAGGTCGAAAAGAGAGCATTCCCAGGTATTGCTAATCACATTAACACACATTTTTCTATTTAATTTCAGTCATTATGCCAGAGTGTGACGGAGTAAATCTGTTCCAACTTGCTTCAGACAATTGCTGCCAATACAACCAATGCTTCCAGAACAAGACTGGATATTGGAACAAGATGTGTATGGGCGGATCTGTTTTCAACCCAAAGATTGGAGCATGTGATGTTGTAGAGTTCGTACCAGAATGCGAATCCGATCCATGTTTAGATGATCAAGGTAATGTTTTTTTTTCATTTCAGTTCGGACAAGACTATGAAACAGCCAGTCATGTATTCAGATGGTCTCTTTAAAGAATTCACTGCAGTTTCTTACTTGTTATTTGTTTGTTGATGGTTGACGCTTTTCTGGAAGTCACGGCTTCCATTGCACACGAAAATGTTTTCCCGATTACTTGAATGAGGATATCGCTTTAAAACATACACAATAGCTATTATGTGCATCATATGTTTATGACTGTGATTGCCGATCATGCACATGCTGATGACCGATGATGTCTTTGATTGCGTATGTCATTGCATGTTCGATTGTCTCGTGTTCTGTTTTAGTTATGACTGAAAAACCATGCCCCGCGGCCGATACTTTAGATGAAGGTACGTACATATTTTTGTTATATAACGAGTTTAATGTCAGACAATAACGACATTTTCATTTTTGGAAAATATCGAGATTCTGAGAGCGAATCCTCCTTGCAAATATCTATCACTGAAAACGATCTTTGTCCTGTCAAGAAATGTTCAAGGATTTATTTATTGTTTCTTACGTTTTGACGTGCTACGTACATGCAGCATTACTTCAGATGTGTTGTTTACATATCTTCATTTTAGATCAATGCTGCGTTGCTGGAGTTATTTTCACTGAAGATTCCTACTTTGGTGTCCTCGGATCGTACTTTGTTGGTGATCCGACGAACTTGGACAACCTCAATTTTTGCCCACAAGAGCAGATATTTAGCGTGGATAGCTGCAGATGTGAGGGTGATATTGGTGAGAATTTCCGAGATTCTCAGTTTTATCTACGTAATTATTTGATCCACTAATGATATGGAGGACACGATTTCATTCTAGTGTTAAAGTGTATCGTATTCAGAAAAACTGTAAATTTTGACTCTGTATATTTATAGAACAACTTGGGTGTAGCTGTCTGCATTTTACATTTGAGAACGACAACCAAACAACAGATAGTCTTCAAGGTGTACAGGTGAAGGGTAAGGGCTTTGTGAGTCCTGGATTAGGAGGCACAAGCGGTGCACTTGCAGTTGATGATGATACAGGGGATTGTGCTTCAATTCCCTACTTTTCTAGAGGATACTTAGGGTCTCAGTTTACATTGGCATTTAGGTATGTGTGACAAAGTCATAGTTGACCTCGTTGGTCTGTCTACTTATTTCACTTCATATCAGTTGATGTCATTATGATCTTTTTCAGTTACTCATGTTTATAATTATTGCGTTATTTTGATTAGTTTATATTTGTATTATAACAGTTGTTTTAGTGATCTTTGAACTCAATGTGATATTTCGCAATATCAACAGTTTAATTTCCTATGTTTTATCGTCATATTAGAGCAGTTTTTAGGCATGAAATATTTCTTGAACCAATCAAATGAATGAATTATTCTTGAGAAATGAGTGACAGACAATGATATATGAAGTCAACTGATGTGAAATTTTTTAATGTTTAGTGAGGATGTTAATAAGTTTCGATAATTTTTGGAATCATCTTGAAGACTGCAAATTTCGGGTAAACAAAGTAAAAACCAATTAAATTTAAAGACCTGGAGTACAAAACATCAATACTGCTGTATATCCTTTGCAAATTTTCATACCTTTATTATCTACATCACATTGTACGAATAATTGTATAATTTTTAGGGTGAAAATTTACCTATAAATATGTGTTGTGGACATAAATTAGATAATGAATTAAACTGGGTAATTAGATTATAAATCCAGAGTTCATGAGATGAGGCTAAAAGGTTTTGTCTAGACATTCCTTTCTCACCAAATCTGCCAAATTCTCAAACTTTCGGTAAATATTCTAGCTCTGTGGGCAGAAAATCATCACAATTTCGTATTGACTTTTTACAAAATTAAACATTTAATTTTCTGCCAACTTTTGTAAATTGGATTTCTAGATATTTTATTGGATAAGACCTCTTATTTTGGCTCTGCCCACTTCAAGATTAAGAAATAAAAGAGGCATTTTTGGCATTGAAACCTCAGAACCTCGTTGCGTGAACTCGGGACAAACCAAAAACTGTAAGTTGCCGATTGAAATGATATTTTTGGACTTCAGCTTTACTTTAATAAGTTAATATTGTAAACTATATTAATATAGTAAACATGAAAACAAATATTTGTTTTCATGTTTTGTAAAGGATAGAGAGACTCAACTTCGCCACATATGTACCAATTTCAGAATGCTGACACAAGCCTCTTTAAGATACCATGTACTTGCGATTGGCATCTCAGATGTCGATATGCTTGTAACAGCAGTCTCCTGAGATTCGTGACTTTCAGTTTATCCCTATCATAGGTGTATGATTCATAGGCATCCAAAGGATACAACTGAGAAGCATAATACAGATAATAACTATTGTTGTTTTATGAGGATTTTTATCGTTTCTATATTTGTATGTAAATGTTACCACGACAGCCATGAATAAATGTAACTTGATTGTTTTCTTGATTGTTTTTTCCATATCTAGGGTGAATGCCGAGGGAAACATTTTCTCAAATGGAGATGATGAAAATCCATCTACTTTAAATGTTGCAATCACACAGGGAAATCTTATTGTTGACATCGAAGTTGGAGGTGAAACTATATCTCTCAATGGTTTAGTAAGTAGTGCATATAGTGCTGTATTATGTTACGAAGCTTTAACTGGATGTTTTATTCAAATATGAAAAAATCAATTTATTTTTTTGCAAATCTCAACAAACTTATAAAAAATCACAATTACCCAATATCATCCTCCTAAGCAGGTATCCAGAATCCGAACCCCCTTCTTCCCCCTGCTATAACCAATTTGGAAGCGCCCGATTAAACTGAATCAAGTGATCTAATCAAGGGAAAGATCAATACCCGGTGATTTCAGCGGGAAGTGGCGTTTCGTTCAGTGGATGAGCTGCGCGCGCACGCATAAATGTGATTATCAATATTATTTAGGGGAGGGATATTCAAGCTTATTTTCGTCATAGGCGCGACCCAGGGCTGTTGTCTTAAGGACATTTCGTTGAAAATTAGCCATTCGGCTGATAATTTGTAGGATTTGTGATCTTATAATGTATAACTGTTATTCAGACACATATTTTGACACGATTCTGTTGGAATTAAGCTTTGAACCGAGAGATATTCACGATTGATATGCACATTTTTGATTGTGTCATAGCTTTTCCATTGCACAATCCATGTATTGATAGAAGTAACAATAATGCAGATTGTTTTACCTTCAATACATGGCGGATTCACTACATATCGGTCTATTAAATACCATTTTGTGCCCTAAATAGTTTTATATTTTCATCACGGCCTCTGGAGCCTGGGTGTGTTTGTCTCATTACGTGTATGCGTGTGAATTGGTGGGGCTGGTAGGGCCACCAATCCCCTGGCCCCGCCCATCCTTTATTCTACTTCCCACTTATTATAATGTATGCTGTAACATTAAATTAGACTTCGCTGGAAAACAATAGGAATTATTTTTCTTGCCGATCAATCATGAATCACAATCAAAATTTCAGAAAGGATCAATGATCAGGCAATCGTCCAAAATCCAAATCAAGTTATAACATTATATGATATTCAGCAAGAAGTCCGGTAGAAATATAGAATATTTAAACATCAAAGCTGAAAGTTAAAAGCTAATCTGTCAATTTTATGTCTGCAAAAGAACGTTTACATTTGACACAATAAAAGACCGAGGCTTTGAAATCTAGGATTCCCCAGGAAAATATGACGTCATACTAATTAGCATAAGGATTTCCCTAGTTGTCTGGGTCGAGCATCGTCCGAAAACACAATCCGATAAATACATGCTAATTTCTAAGGAGATAGGAAGTGTATGACGTGTTTATCGATTTTGTTTAACGATTTAATCAATTATCAAATTGTATAAGTGGATAAAGTGGTCACACTTGCTTCAATTCATAGCGTAATCGACGGATAGAAACTGCACCGAATTCCCGATATCCTACCCCGTATTATGTAGGCTATAACCACAGTGACCTGCAGATGGCGCTATCACAAACAAGTACTGCACGAACCGATAAATTCCCGGGTATTGTAACGCCCTTGATCTAATTATGCGCAATGGCTTATACATGATTTCTGTCGCAGTGTTGCGACAGCCAATCAGATTGCGAGTTCTTAATCGGGGAAATGCTAACTGCTTTAAACTTATTTTTTGGATCAAAAGGATTAATGTAAATCAAAATATAAATCAAAACACATATTTTGAAAAAGGAGATCCATAGAATCAAATGTGACGTGTCATGACGGAAGTTACGCATGAGGATCAACTGCAGACGGTATAGGCAAACACCCCTAATTCAGGTCACCATACTAGCCAATGGGCAAATGTGCAAACACCTGATTTCTTATCTTGAGTTATGGATATATGTGGCCCCAATTGGCCTATCTGAGGTTCAAAGACAATGTCTAAGCTACATTTTGTCACTAAACTCAATAGGGGTCAAACATCTACAATTGTGACACTACCCCTTCTCTCTCTGCCGACAGAAATTGAATTTCACAAAAGTGAAGCCAAAATTAATAGGCCACTTGACTCAAAATTCTCCTCCAGATAACCCAAATAAACGCATTTCCAGAAGAAATGGCATGTTATCTTTGCAAAAAGATGACAAATGTACCTTTGCTCCCCCATTGAACTACGTTTTATTTACTTACCCTGCGATATAATTACTTATAACATTAATGGAAACGTAACTTGACTTTATTTCCAATACCTCCAAATTTTCCCATTTTTCCCCCTCAAGTACAATAGGTGGAAAGATGATAAATTTGATGAAGTTTTGAAAATCGTCATTCCCATGTAAACCAATGGGAAATGGTGGGTTTTGGGCAAATCAGAAATCAGGATATCTATTCAGTAAAAGATTCAGCAAAACATATTTCTTTATAGAAAATTGAATTGTCTAACTTTTTTGTACACCAGTGTTTAGTTTACTTGGTGAATATTAAAGTTACAAGGCTTCAAAGTCATTTTTGAAAATCATTTTTCGCCTACTGTCTTATTTCAATGGTAGAGGTCTTTGAAAAACAATTTTGACTTTAAAGACCCATATCTTTGTAGAACCTGAAGAAACGTATCAATCTTTTGTTAAATAAAGTTAGCAAAATTAATTGCCTACCTAACTTGTATTTTTGGCAATGACTCGGATGGTTAGATATTCTGTCAAATGACTTGTGGAAAAACCTACCATTTCCCATTGGTTAACATGGGAATGTCAATTTTCAAAGATTCATTTATCATCACTTTTCGACCTATTGTAATTGAGGAAATTTTTTTAGAAAATTTGAGGTATTGGAAATAAAGTCAAGTTACATTTCTATTAATATTTAAAGTATTTTCATCGCAGGTTAAGTAAATAAAAATTCAAACGTAAAGAGGCGTTAACACATAGTTCAATGGGGGAGCTAAGGTTGCCAGACTTATGGAGGGGAGTGTACGTACTAGCTTACTGACTCGTCATGATCACAATTGTGCTTGGACTACATTCATTTTTTAAAACTACTTTTTTCTATTCGGCGGAAGTGACGTATTAGGGCAGTTTGGCCATACCTCCGATCCACCCAAGGGAAAGATCAATACCCGGTGATTTCAGCGGGAAGTGGCGTTTCGTTCATTGGATGAGCTGCGCGCGCACGCATAAATGTGATTATCCAATATAATTAGGGGAGGGCTATTTGAAGTAGTTTTTGGTCTCAGGCGCGACCCAGGGCTGTTGTCTTAAGGACATTTCGTTGAAAATGAGCCATTCGGCTGATAATTGGTAAGAGTTTGCGATCTTATAATGTATAACTGTTACTCAGACACATATTTTGACACGATTCTGTTGGAAATAAGCTTTGAACCGAGAGATATTCACGATTGATATGCACATTTTTGATTGTGCCATTGCTTTTCTATTGCACAACCCATGTATTGATAGAAGAAACATTAATAATACAGATTGGTTTACCTTCAATACATGACAGACACTACATATCGGTCTATTAATACCAGTTTGTGCCTTAAATAGTTTTATATTTCCATCCACGGCCTGGAGCCTGGGTGTGTTTGTCTCTTATGTGTATGCTTGTGCATGGACTTCTAATCACTAGCAGAATTTAACATGATGCAAACTCGACATTATAACTCATGCTGTAACATTTTGACTTCGCTGGAAAACAATAGGAATTATTTTTCTTGCCAATCAATCATGAATCACAATCAAAATTTCAGAATGATCAATCAGGCAATGATCCAAATCAAGTTATAACATTATATGATATTCAGCAAGAAGTCCGGTAGAAATACAGAATATTTAAACATCAAAGCTGAAAGTTAAAAGCTAATCTGTCAATTTTCTGTCTGCAAAAGAGCGTCCCAAGAGCGTTTACATTTGACACAATAACAGACTGAGGCCTTGAAATCTAGGATTCCCCAGGAAAATATGACGTCATACTAATTAGCATAAGGATTTCCCTATTGGGGTGGGTCGAGCCTTGTTCGAAAACACAATCCATAAATACATGCTAATTTCTAAGGAGATAGGAAGTGTATAACGTGTTTATCGATTTTGTTTAAAGATTTAATCAATTATCAAATTGTTTAAGTGGATAAAGTTGTCACACTTGCTTCAATTCATAGCGAAATCGACGGATAGAAACTGACCGAATTCCCGATATCCTACCCCGTATTACTGTAGGCTATAAGCACAGTGACCTACAGAGGGCGCTATCACAAACAAGTACTGGACGAACCGATAAATTCCCGGGTATTGTAACGCCCTTGATCCACCATTGTTTTTCCGATTCACGACTTGCTGCAGTCAGCGTCACTGTTAGCATATTAACATGGTACGTTTTAGAGTGTGATACCCTGTCGCCGTTTTCAATAGCTTTAACTTCTAACGTTATTGGGCTTCAAACAGGCGCGAAGGTTTAAGTTTATTGGCCCAGCAAAATATGTCTTCCCAAGTACAAGCTAACATGTGTATGCATATAGTGCAGCTGAATGTACATTATCAATAATACTAGGAAAAATATATATAATGTAAAAATAAGTGTAGACATTTCAAATTGTTAATAATAAGTTCCTCCGGTAATACGCTGACTTTATATATCTATAAAGACAGTCATTGTTAAATAATTTTTGAACTTTAAGGTCATCACTTAGGTTGGTGAAGTACGGTATATTAGAATTAATATATTTGAGCATTTCTGTTCTTTCTTTTGTAAAGGAAGCACAATTTAAAATAAAATGTGATAAGTCTTCCTCAACCAGGTAAGGCTGTACAAAATGAACATTTAGAATTGCCTCCAAATTTCTTGTTAAAGGCTACCCTTCAATTCGGATGTATTTCAACGAAAAGAGTGGGTATCGATCGCGATATGGCGAACTTTTTGAATTTCTCTTAAACCAGTCATCAACAAATTCTGAATATTTTACACATTGTCAATTCAATGGTCATCTTTTGAATGGTAACAATATAATTTGAAAAAAATATATACTTTCATCTATATTGTTTTAGAAAACACATCAAACACTTGTTTTGTTCTTTGTATCATGTTTCCAGAGTGAACTGAAACATCTTTCCGAACCTCATTGGAACAAAACGACATAAACACAACATGTTTAGGTCTCTCAATATTGTAATTGTACAAAGGAAATTTTGGTTGATTTTAAAAAATATCTTGTTAATGAAATAAAAGGTTTATCTTGATTTTTATCTATTTTCGGGGGATTTTGTTTTAATTTTTTGAATACCTTTTTAAAATCAACCAAAAATTCCTTTGTATAACTATAATATTGAGAGGTCTTAAAACATGTTGTATATGCTATTTTGTTCCAACAAGGTTCGGAAAGACATTTTATTTCATTCTCAAGAATTGGTAGAAAGGAGCAAAAACAAAATCACTAAAAAAACCAAAAAATGTTAACAAAAACAGTTATATAAAATATTTCTAAATAATTTTCGAATTAAATTGTTGTCAATCAGTCAACATTACATAAAATACCGTGTTTTTTTACAATGTTTTCAATGATTGGTTTAAGAGAAAAACATTGTTGAATTCAGTTCTCCATATCGATACCACTCTTTTGATATTGTATGTCTTTAACTGGTTGGTACTAGAAGTTAGATAATGTGGTAAAAGATTGTAATTTTCTTTTGTTTTTTTTCATATCAACTGTAAGCTCACTGAGGAGACTGATTTTTCATTAACGTTTTGTAAATATCGATCTTGAAGTCTCATCTTAAATTGTGAGTGACAACTGTTGTAATCTGAAGGGTTATTAAAGATATCCGAAAATCAAGTTGTATAGATCATTCTCTTAATACTCTCATACCAATGATTATTGTGAAGTTTTGCATCTAAAAAGCAGTATTTAATAAAGAATTATTGGTTCCATTAGCCAGTCTTTTCCAATATTTTATACAACCCTCCCATATTTTAAAGGATATGGTAAATCGTCCTAGCTCAGCTCTGGCACTTAAGTCATTTCACGACTTATGGACATTTAATATTGCTTTACAAAATCTAGTATGAAGTTTTTCGTAGTCATTGGTATCTATAGAATTCTCATGTAAAAGGAGGACTATGTTTTTATCAAATACATAAGTCATTAGTTCCAATTTAGTTTAATTTACGTATCTTGGGGTCTATATCTAAATTTCTAACAAAATTTGATAGACTTATGCCTTATGGGTTGTAGAACCTCTACTCGAAAAGGACTTCTCAATATGGCCGCTTAATTGAAAATGGCCACCATTTTTCGTTAATAATGTAATCTTTGATAACCGAAATACCAGTGGACGGATTCGGTTCAATATTTGTATGCTGATGCCTAGGGACATAGGAGCTCTGTTTGAGAAGGAATGTTCAACATGTCAGCTGAATTGCAAAATGGCCACTATTTTTCTTTAAATAACGTAATCTCAAATACTTGTTGATGCATTCGGGTCAAATTTTATATGCTGATGCCCAGAGACAAATGAACTCTGCTTAAGAAGACATTTTCAAGATAGCCATTGAATCGGGATGCACAATAAACGCATGATGGTTCTCAAAATAAGCGTGATACTGTTGAAATGTGCGACTGGACCCAAACGATAATTGTGAATGTTGCCTCATATGCATATCCATCATATGGACTACGTTCAATCATAAAACCACACTGGGCTCTATTTCTCTAAATTCTGTTTTTATTATGTTTCTACTAGGCGGCCCTTGACACTGATATTCATGTTGCCATTGTGAAGGATGAGCAGGAAATGAAGTTGTATGTCGAAGGGGCTTTAGTTGACACACAACCTGCGAGAGGTAACCGTAATATATACCTTTCTTAGATTGAATCACTAAGGCTTGGAAGAGAGTAGTCTATGACTAGTTTGCTGCACTATTAGAAGCTACATTCAAAATATTTTTTTGTGAGTCAATAGTTATAAAACGGTTTTACCTATAACAAATTAAGAACACATTGCAATATAATATGGAAAATACATTCATGTTAGTATAAGATACCTAACATTTGTATATTTCAGTTAGTTTCGTTTTGCTATAAAGTTGTGACCTATTATAGTTTTGGGAGTTTTAGCCATGTTCGTTTTGAGGTATTGCTTCAAAGAGAACCATCAAAATTCAAAATGCCCTACATATATATATATCTTTTATTGACTCTTTAGATGTCATGACCTGACATATTAGTCATTACAAAATGAAATTTCACAAAACTACACTACACTACACTACACTAATATATACAATTTATACAAAAAACTTGTTATTTACATATGTTATAATATACTTTAGGTGTGATGCATCCAGGCAAGTTTAAGTTTTTGAATGATTTTGTAATAAAACTTCCAACTTGCTTTTGCACATATTTATCTTTTGAAGATATTAACATAATGAATGTATTTTCAGGATCATGTTGATCAACATTAATTTTGCTAGTGATGTTGTCAAACAATATTTGTCTATTTTCTCTATGTAAATGGCATTTAATCATGAAATGAACCTCATTTTCTATTTTCCCACAAAAGTTACATAATCTTTCATATTCAGGTTTTGGCCGTGGTTTTACATGTCTACCCAGTTCTATTTGTAATTTATGTGAACTTAATCTCAGTTGTGAAATTGATTACATCTGTTAGTCAAACTGCAAACTATACTACCCAAAATATGCAAAGTTATAATAAATAATGTTGACCGAATTTTAACTTTTAACTCAAAAGGTTCAAAATCTTCTCGTAAAAGGAAATATACAGGGTGTTTCATAATGACCGTCCCCCCATCAATCACCAATCCTAAATAGCAGATCCGCATAACGTTATACATCATATGAAAGCTTTTTCAATTCTGGACTTGTTGGAACAACTTTGATTGAGCTCTACAGTTCTTACAACTAACTTGCTACGTTTTCCCGAAATTTGCCATGTGTCCTGCAAAAAGTTATTATAACCATGCCTCAATACACTATTAATATCTATAGTCATGTACAACTTCTAACTTTGATGGATGCTGGGGATATATCTTAATGATATTTGATATGCAAAAGTATTAAATATGTCAAAGAAATTACCAGAGAGCGCTAGATGATACAATGGATTATATAGCATTCTACGCGACTCCTCTCTTTAAATCCATCAGAAATAGTAGGAATAAACATGCGAATTGAGGGGATAAGTGACTACCAAATACAAGTTCACAAATTATGTCCTAAAGATCAGGCATGCTAAGATTGACACTTAAGTCCAGAATTGAATGAGCTTTATTTAGGTATATAGATTATGGGGGCATGTGATCTAGTATTACCTTTTTGTTTTGGTACCATGTCAGGCCTCGCGCTTAACTTTTTTATCAGGTAGTTGTTTCACTACTTAGTGAATTTTCCAGGTAGCTATTTGAGAGAACCAAGTAGTGAAGATTTCGATCTTTATTCTTATGACTTACCAGCGCAATAATAAGATATTACACTGTAGTGATCTCCCCAGCAGCAATTGCACTGCACCCACTTGAGATTTTGGTAATAGGCATGCACCCACCTGAGAATCAATTTGCACCCACTTGAAAATGAGAAAAACATGAAAAATAGGCATATTTTCCAAATTTTGTCTAAATTGTGAAATAAGAATATTGCACCCACTTCAGATAAAATCCTGGGGAGAACACTGCACTCTATCAGATATATGGAAGAAATAAAAATCCCCGGGAATTTCATGTATGGCAAGGTTTTCTCGCCAAATATGACTAATTTGCAACACCAGAATGGAGTATAATAATGGAATGGATTGTTATTGAAGAGTTTACGGTAAAGATCGCTAAATGAACCAAGAATCAATAAACAAATAAAATTAGTAAACAATATTGCAAAATTCCCTAGTGGAGCCCCGCGAATGGAATGATATATTCTCCCCGATTATCTTTATTAATTCCGCTAGAGACCGTTCGATATCGATCTAATATTATACTGAAAGATATTTGTTTAATAATAGATCTTCATTTTCATGTAAAAGTCGTAAGAATAATGAGAAATGTTAGAAAGAAAGAGGAAACATCAAACTAAAGTTCATGACCTTGACGGTCATGTTGACATGCGCAAAAAAGCTGCGCGAAAGACTACTTGGTTGAATGCGGAAACGACTCTAAATTTGAACATTTCTTTCATTCATTTCAGCCTATTTTGAGATAATATTAGTTTAGAATTGTGTGAAAAGGACCCACTGATACATATTTATCGGGAGGATGCATCGAATTACAACATGTGTCATTTTTTATACGTTTTAGTGTGAGTACTCTATTATCGCTCACTTCATTTCTCGAAGTTCGATCTTTTTAACCGAATCTTCGGCTGTCTGGAACTAGCGAAGTTAGCTAATTGGAGAAAATGACAAGTAGTGTTCTGGGAAAACAGGTAGCGAATCGCTACCTTCGCAACGCTAATTTCGAGGCCTGCATGTGAGATTAGATTATGCTTTGATACCTGTTATTAAACGTAAGGTATTAACGGAATAAAGTTACACGTCGATCTAATTATCATATCAAACTTACTGACAAACAATTGGACGAATGCATAACACGGGACACATCTTTGAGATATTCGTTTCAAACTTGTTCGTGGAAAATATCTTGAGTTTAAAAACTGAATTCAATGGTTTAGTGAAAAGGTCCATGTGCAGTATGGCAAGTGATTTTAGACGGTCATATCTTTTACCATGAGTACTTTCTGGTCATAAATATAATACAGTGGTGTTCATTAAAACAATATGTTTTCTTTCAAGTGGAGTCCCTATGATGATAAAAATATCAATCGAACAATTCGAAAAATTATGAATAGGGACCCCAAGTCGTCAACAATTTTTGGAAAATGTTGAACTTATTTGCTCAAAAGAGGATCTTCTTTTTCTGATTTTTATTGCATAAAACATTATTCAACAAGGGGTCTAAAACATCTTTAAAAGTAGAATGGTATTGAAAGTCTAGTTTTGAAGATATCAATCTTCGATGACCAAAATCATGCTGAAAACAATGGATAGCATGAGTTTTCCCTATGGGAAAATAACATCGGAAATGTGGTTTTTTTATTTACTTTATCGCATTTTAATACCCATCCCCTTTTCAGAAGTTATTAATATAGGGTAGAAGAAACTTTTGATACATTTAAATTGAGAAAAACAAGATCCTCTTTTTTTTTTAGAAAATAAGCCTTATCTTTTTTAAAAGGTGACAAGGTGGGGTCCTAATCCATAATTTTTACAGAAAGTTGGATTGATATTTTAGTATCATGGGAACTTCAATTTAAAGAAAACATATTGTTGTAATAAAAACCACTGTATTTAGACCCAGAAAATACTCATGGTGAAAGATGACTGTCTAAAATCACTTGCCATAGTGCACATGGACCTTTGCTAAAATATGATGTTTTTCACTGTTTACAAAATACCGTTTTTATTTTGACATTTTAATTTTTATTTTCATTTAGTGTACTGATTTGATCAGTACACTAAATGAATTTGTATCACACAACTATAGAGTAATGATTGCTTGGGCGTCCTTTTTATCATAATCTCTCAATACTAATGTTTTAACCTAGTATTACATTGGATTTGTTTCTAGGCAACTATGATCCCAGCGACTGTCCACTCAAGCTGTGTGGGCAGGGAATAGTCGATGAACTGGTGATGTGTCATTTCTCCTATAGCCAAGACTTGGTTAGAGCCCTAGCTGATGACAACATTGTTGCTGCCAACAATTGATTTCATTGTAATAGCTAGTTGTGACCTTGATATAAATAAAAATATACTATACGATGTAATACAATTAGGCCAGATGATGAACTGCGTTTCAACCCTTGTCGAAATTAAAATTATTGTTATAAACCTAAATATCCGTTTTAAGGCCACTTACAATCGTATTCCAGAAAACTTGAAAAAGATCATGGGGACCTATACTCATTTCCACTACTGGAACAGTTAAACTCTGGACTATGCTCATTTGCAAAAGACCCATTCTCCCCGTTGTTTGGGCTTCATTTTCACTGTTTCTCGTCTGAACTCTGTATTTTTGGGAGCCAGGCCTGTCCAATGCATTGTTACGACCATGCACGATGTATTTGTATTATAGGTTGCAAATGCAAGGAGGTTCATAGGTTTTCATAAAACTATACATTATAGTACTCTGGAACTAAATACCAAATATTCCATTCTATTGAGGTGAATATATACATGTTCAACTTTCCCTTCGGGCTTCGGGAAATATACACTCCCCTCCATAAGTTTGGCAACCTTTTTTCCCCCATTGAACTACGTGTTAAAGCCTCTTTACCTTTGAATTTTTATTTACTTAACCTGCGATGAAAATACTTATACTATTGATGAAAACGTAATTTGGCTTTAATTCCAATACCTCCAAATTTTCTCAATTTTTTTCCTCAATTACAGTAGGTCGAAAATTGATGATGAATTTGATGAATTTTTGAAAATCGACATTCCCATGTTAACCAATGGGAAATGGTAGGTTTGCCGCAAGACATATGACAGAATATCCATCCATTCTAGTCCTTGCAAAAAATACGAGTTAGGCAGATAATTGAATTTGCTATCTTTATTTAACAAAAAATTGATATGTTTCTTCAGGTTCAACAAAGTTATAGGGCTTTAAAGTCAAAATTGTTTTTCAAATAACCTCTCCCATTGAAATAACACAGGAGGCGAAAAATTCTTTTCAAAAGTGACTTTGAAGCGCTGTAACTTTAATATTCATTAAATAAACTAAACACTTAGTGTTCAAAAAAGTAAGACAATTCAATTTTCTATATGAAAATATTTTTTGCTGAATCTTTTACTGAAAAGATATCCTGATTTCTGATTTGCCCCGAACCCTCCATTTCTCATTGGATTACATGGGAATGACGATTTTCAAAAATTCATCAAATTTATCATCAATTTTCGACCTATTGTAATTGAGGAAAAAATTGAGAAAAATTTGTAGGTATTGGAAATAAAGTCAAGTTACGTTTCCATCAATATTATAAGTTATTTCATCGCCGGTTAAGTAAATAAAAATTCAAACGTAAAGAGGCTTTAACACGTAGTTCAATGGAGAAAAAAGGTTGCCAAACTTATGGAGGGGAGTGTACCTGAGGGAAAGATGAACATGTATTCACCGAAAATAGAATGGAATATTTGATTTATTATATCATTTGAATCTTCTAAAAAGTAGGCGTCTTCAAACCATTTAATACATTATTAGATATGGTTTCATTAAGATTCGGGTTCTAACCTTTAGAAGGTAAGTCAGACTCCCAAACGTCAGCTAACTCTTATATTTAGCATGTTAGCGACGAACTCAGGCCATGAAAACAATTCTAAATAAATGGACAAGACACAGGAAATTGAGGACGGGTAGCCAATCCTCATTTGAAACTCTAACAAAATAATAATGAAGCTAAAATGAAGCATTAGGTCAAGGGTATTATATTCACTGCTAAATCAAAGCATTACGTCAACTATAAAGTAGTTTAATTCGATAAAAAACGAAAAATATCGAAATCGACACTTCTCGTCCGTCATCTTTGATGCGAAGGTGACGGCCGTTACCTTCGCTTGATACTGACCAGTGATATTAGCAATTGAAGGACATGTGTACATTGAGTCTATCACAAATCAATCACTGTTCGAATAATGTACTGGATAAAGATAAATCATGACATGACATAATGTTAAATATCTTCTCATATATTTGTCAAGATCAAGTTCATTCGCCTCAAGACATCTGTTTTGTCAGATAGCATGTACTACATGTGGTTAGTTATGTATTCTGTTTTTCGTTTCTTTTCCCCATATCGAATAATATCCCAAAATGCCATACAATAATAGTAGTACTTGTATCCAAAGTGGTATTTGAATGAGTAAAGTTATCAGTCATTATACGGCCTTGTTTTAAAGTTGTACTCAAACTATTTTACTCGATTTAGATATATTTATACTATCTTACCGTATGAAGGCCACACTTTACGATGGTGAACCATCAACACTTCCAAAAGTTCATTTTATCATGATATCGGGGATATAAAGTCAGCACGTGTCTGTTTTCGCGGCAAAACTGATTTTATTTTCAAAGCAGAAATTTTACGTCACGTGACATGACGTGTGTGGTTGGAACAATTTGCCGAGAAATACGATTTTGTAAATAAAATGAAATCCTGGCTTTCAAAAACGAGTTATTTGCTCTTATGTTGAGCCATTATTGCATAATTGAGGCTATTCTCATCAATTTTGCGAAGGGTATAATATCACTTGCAATTGAGTGCGGAATCAATCGAGCTGAAACGCTACTGAAAGCATGTCAGTTATATAACAGCAAACAAGTACAGCCAGTGTTTGGGGGGTAAAGATTAAAAGGTGGATCGGATCGAGTGGATTGGATTCATGTAAAAGGTGGATTGGATCGGGAATCTTCAAAATATTTTTTTCTGTTGATCTTCCTCTCAGAAAAATTTCCATTCTCAAAGTATTTTGTGATTACTTGGGTCTCTTTGGGGAATCAGAACAAAACAACAACAAATACAATATAATTAGTTGATGGATACTATAAGGATTCAACTGCTTTCCCTGGTAAATCAACTTTCTAAGGCTAAAAATAGATCTTTGTTGATAAAATCTGTCATTCAAATTGATGTGTTGATGTTCCCATCTACTAGATGTTCTGTTTGGATTGAAAACAGATGATATGGCTCTTCAAATCAGTCTGCCTTATGATTTATGAATTGCCTTAAATTACCCTGAAATAAATAAGATTATTTATCAGCAAGTGAGAACCAGGTCACTCTTCTAGTCCACCCAAGCAAAATAATATTGCATCTGTTATTTGACATTGTGGACGGGAGGAGAGCACCAATCTGACAGAGGGAGATCAATAGAAATAAATCTTAAAGTAATTCTATATTTTGAAGATTTCCGATCCAATCCACCTTTTACATGAATCCAATCCACTCGATCCAATCCACCTTTTAATCTTTACCGTGTTTGGGGATCAAAACTTTTTAAACCGAATGTAATGCTGTAAGACCAAAATATAATTATTGGGTTATCGATTCAGTTATCGATATACGATAATAATATTGCAGGGCTCTTTCCACAAGAATTTATTTTTGTGAAGTTCAATCAATTAAAAATATTTACTAGAATAGTATTTGGCTATTGGAATACGTGCGAACGTAAAACTCATGTATTTTTTTGCTTTGAATATTGTATATTTATACTTTGGTTCAGCCTTGCAACAACAACTTTTCGATTTAGCGCCATAATAACTTGGCACACGGTACGTCAAATTGTCATGGTCAGGTGACCTCAAAAAGTGCGCAAAGACAACATTTTAGAGGTTTACAGTCTTATCTTTATAGATCGTGTTTTGTTGGGAAATATCAGCAAGCTTTGTAGTCAAAATAACAAAAGGGATGTAATTTGTGGTAAATACAAGATAAAAAGAGATTCTTAAATTGGTTTTAGTACAACTTTAAGCTTATTCTTTACTTTGAAAGATACGAATTAAAATATAAATGGAAGTACGCTTTGCCACTTTCGTTTATTGCAAAGCATGTTGAAAATATACAGGATGTACAAATGTTGGTGACGATGGTTCAATATTGTTATCAAAAATGTGTGCTTTTGACAAGGCCTGGTAAATAAATGAAATAGATCGTTATGGGGATCCATAATATTTTTATTTTTTTCGTGAAGCCACGATGTCTCTGCACCATAATATCCAATCAAGATCATTTGAGTACTGATGTGTTCCTGAGACGTTTGGTGATTCAGGAATGACAACGTCTACCCAAAAGGACCTTATACACCCTTCATTGGGATCTCCCCATGAGAAAAAAATAATTCATCTGATTTTTCAAATGAGTATTCTGCTTTAATTATAACATTTATATGCACACCAGTATCTTGTTGACCTATATTCAGCACTGTATTGATGTATAGTTTAGTTTAGTTTAGTTTATTTCAAACAAATAAAAGGCCTCAGGCCCATAGTTTTACAAATATAACAATACATGTTTACATCAATTTAGTAGCTCCTGCCTTAAATTAAATGCTTTATAGCAGAAAGTAGCTAAGTTACATAAATCATTTACACCTTTTGTAGACATTAAATTAATAAACTTTTGATGTGATGGTAAAATATAATAATACCTTTTGATGTACTCTTCCCTTAGATCAATAAATGACGGGCAGATTAAAATAAAATGAAATTCATCCTCCAGAATATGTATACCTTGGTATAATTCACAAAGAGGGCATATGCGATCCTCTTTTGGCATATTTTGATGCCTACCAATTTCAATTTTCAGTTTATGATTGGAACATCTCAGCCTTGTTAAAACTCTTCTATATTTTACAATATTTACAACTGATAAATATGTTTCGACTTCTAATATACTTTTAAAATCACTGTATGATTCCAATCTATTTGAAGCTAATAATGATCCTGACCATGCTTGTAAATTGACATCTTTTATTCTTTGCACAAAAATTTTAAGAAATAAGTTTTCATCTCCAACACTTTGGTTGGTATAAACAATTCCAAAGCCCGGCCATAGAACTCAATAAGGTTTTAACATGTGTTGCCCAAGTTATCCTACCACTTTGGTCTAATTGATATAACATTTTATAGGAAGCTTTCGGTAACCTTTCATCTGGCATTTTAAGAAGGTTTAACCAATATTTTATACAATGTTTCATATATACAATGTTTAAAGGATGCCTACCACATTCACCAAGTGCACATACATCATTTGCCTTTTCACCTAAACATAA